ACGCACACACACACACACACACACACACACACACACACACACACACACCCCACTACTGTTTTCAGGGATTGCTCCCAGGCAACGGACATTTATGTCAACATTTTCTTAAAAAACGTTTGATAGTAAATATTTGTATTTTCAGACCACATGATTTCTGTCACTACTCAACTTTGCCACTACAGTCCAAAAGCAACCACAGGCAATGCATGAATGAATGGGTGTAGCTGTGTTCCAATGAAACTTTATTTATAAAACTAAACACGTCCCACAGGATGTAGTTTGCTGACTCCCTGCTACAGAATTTGCAATGTCATTTCACATATAGTGTAAAAACACAATATACTTTCATTCTTCTTTCGCTTGTCTTTGTGCCACTGCCACAAATTCAGATTTTTTATATATTACAAACCCATAATATGCTGTTACTAAGTAACAGTCTATCAAAGAAAAATTTTAATGAGAAAAAGGCCCTTTATATTTATGCTATATATTTTCTATCTTTTGGTCTTCAGTCCTTTGTTTAGGTCTGAATTTCCATCTAGTATCTTTTTTCTACTTGAAGAAGGGTTTTTAATGTTCTTACAGTGTAGACCTCCTAGAGACAATTTTTTTCAGCTTTTGTTTTTCTTAAAAGGTTTTTTTTGTTGTTGTTTGTTTTCAAGCAGTTTGTTCTATTGCCCATGCTGGCCCAGAACTCTTGAGTTCAAGTGATCCTCTCAACTTAGCCTCCTGGAGGAAGGTTATGCCAGGTGTGTACCTCAGTGTCCAGTCCAGCTTAAAACAATCTTTAATTAGCTCTGGATTTTTTTGCGTGTGTATGTTTGTGGGGGACTAGGGTTTGAACTCAGGGCTTTGCACTTGCAAAGCCAGGTGCTCTACCACTTGAGCAACACATCCAGTCCTAACTCACTTTGCTTTTGAAAATTATTTTCACATAATATAGAATCCCAGTTCAACAGATTTAAAAAAAAAAAACATACTTTGAAGATGTTCTGTGTCTTCTGGTTTACACTTGTAATGGGCAACCAATTAACTGCACATATTTTTATTCTGAAAATAAGTTTATCTTCTTTTCTTTGCTTTTATGACTTCTTCATTTTCAGATTGTTTCCAATAACTTAATTATACTCTACCCTGGTATGTCTTTGTGTTTATCTTGCTTAAATTTCATTCAGCTTCTTGGACCATAGATTTAAACTTTAATTCTAGTATGAAAACAGCACTTTTAGGATGGAACCCTCATTTAATGAAATAGAGATTATGGAAAAAACAGTTCAGGGAAAAGGATGCACTGGTGGTGGAATCAGCAAACAAACCTGGACATCAGATCATGACTCCTATTAGATAAGATTTTTACCAAAAGTGAAAATGGCTTCACTCTTTTGTTGTTTTTGTGTTTTGTTTCTTGAAACAGGATCTCGATATGTAGCCCAGGATAGCCTGGAACTCACAATCCTCCTGCTTCTACCTCCCAAGTGCGAGAATCATCACCTCACCTAGCTTTCTACTTTAACTACTATCAAAGTTTTCAAACATTCTGATTAGTGTTCTCTATATATCCCATGCTACCTTAGAAAACAAATAAGGAAAAAGTATTCCTTCCTTTTTCTGGCATGGGGAGGGGGGGGTTAAGACTGGAGTTTGAACTCAGGGCTTCATGCTTGGCAAATTAGGAACTCTACTGCTTGAGCCACACCTTTTATCCATTTTGCTCTGGTTATTTTGGAGATGGGATCTTGTAAACTATTTGCCTGGGCTGGCCTCAAACCACCATTCTCCTGGTATCAGCTTCCCAAGAAGCTAGAATGACAGGTGTGAGCCACCAGTACTCAGCACAAGTATTCTTGATTAGTTATAAGACTTCTTTACGTTGGAATAGTTAGAGCAGCTTTTGAGTTTCTCTCTTTGCTTTAGTTGTCTTCTAAGAAAATGAACTTCTGTTTTCAACTGCAGAAACTTCTTTTAGCCAAAGTATTCTGATAGTTTTTCTTCCTTCTCACTCATGTACACTTAAATTTTTTTTTAAAAATTGGCATCTTGTCTCCCTTGAATTTCAGTTATTTTAGAACTGCATAGTTCTATTCTTCATTGTCTTTTGAGTGTGCTCACTCAACTGTTGACTTCTACAGTTAAATTAATTTGCTCTTAAGCCTATCCATTAAATTTTTCACTAGGAATAATGTAGTTCTTCTGAGTTCTAAAGGATCCATTGACTCTTTTATCACTCCTACTCTTCTCTTTGTGTTCATCACAATTTTCTTTAATTCTCTGAACATATTAATGATAGTTGTTTTAAAGCTCTTGTCTATTAATGCCTGTAAGTTTTGGTTCTGTTTCTATAAGGATGGTTTTTCTATTGTTTTTAGATCACATTTTTCAGTTTCTTATCATCCAGTACTATTCTTTTAATACTGGATATTATGCAGGATACATTGATGAGGATATGGATTTTCTGTCTTCTTTCAACAAGTATTACTGAGCTTTTTTCTAACAGCAAGCAAACTCATTTAAAAATGACCTTGACTTTTTTGAGGTATGTTTTTCTGCTTGCTTTGGGCAGGTATGAAGTAGCCTCTACTCTATGACTAGCTTAGCCCTATTCCTATCATGGTTTTGAGGCTCTACCAAGTACAACTTTTGATAGTTATTCAGTTCATAGATTCATCAGTAATTTATCTTTCAGCATTTCCTCATAGAATCTCACCCTGAGCAGGTATAGTTTAGAAATCAGCAGCAAGTTCTCAAAGAGCTCAGTCCTGTACTGTCCATTCCCCAATGTTTGAATATAATGTTTCTTATACTGTATTATGGTCAGTTTCCTAGCAGTAGTACTGCAGGAGGCCTAGTTAGATACTGTTTACTCCATCACAGCTGTTAAAGGAAATCTGTACTCTATGAGTTTCTAAATTTTCATTTTAGACTTTAATCTATATGACATAAAGACATCCATCTTTACTCCTTACAAACATAAACATTTTTTTCTGGTCATTAATTTGAGATTACATGTACCACATAACAAAGTTTATGTTATGTATGGCTCTGCTCCTGAGCAACTGATTTCATTCCTCTAGTCACTTTGTTCATCTCTGTGCTAATATCACACACTCAGTTATTATAGGAAGGCTTAATACTGTCTAGGGTAAATCCTTCCTCCTGCTCACCACCTTTAGATGGGCCCTATTTCTTCTTTAGACATTTAGTATAACAGGATAAAAGCAGGGAGAAATGGGGAAAATGGGGAGAAACATTTCCTGATACCCTGTAGGAAATGAGAGTAAAACACTTCCCTATTTCTTCTTATTCCTTACTTTCCATATAACATTTTAGACCTATCAAGTGTTAATAATCCTATTATAATTTGTATTGTAATAGCATTGAATCTATAAATCAACATGGATAAAAACTAACATTTTATGATATTAAATATTGTTTTCCATTAACATGTATATTCCTCCATTTATTTAAAATCAATCTTTAATATTTCTTATATACAGTTTTATGATTTTTCTTATATAGGTCTTAAAATTCTTTTTTACATTCTGAAATATGTGATATTCTCTGATTTTACTATGAATGCTATCCTCTCATATTTCTGGTAGTCAACTGCTGAAATAAATAAATGCAACCTACTTTTATATATTAACATTACATCGAGCCACTCTACTAAACTCTATCATATTTAGCAATCTAAATCTCATTCCCTCTATCCATACAATGCTCACTCCTTTGCACAAGCTACTATCCCTTCAACTGAGTAACCTCAATAAAATCTCATTAGTTTACAACATTCCAGTTTTGCACCCTGCACCTGAGTTAAAGATTCTTGTCTGGGCTGGGGTCATGCCTCAAGTGGTACAACACCTGCCTAGCAAGCACAAGTTCAAACCTCAGTACCATAAATAACTGTCTGATCTTTCTACCTGTGTAGGCTTTCCATGTACTTACTTACTTTTCCTCTTTCTTGAAATATTCTTTCCAACTCTTCACGGCTAACCTAACTCCTGCTTATTAGTTTCTGATTATTACCAAAGCTTCCAAAGCTAGGTTAGCAACTCCTCTTGTGTGCAGAATAACATCCTGTACTCAATCGTCTTCAATATCTTACTACCCTGAATTGTTTCTTTATATAACGAGTTAAACTATAAGCTTTTTGAGAACAATCCTTCATTATAATCTCCAACTCTTCCCAGAACCTACCACATTTTGTCACATATGACAGATCAATAGTTATTTGATGAGAATAAAATCTCATGTAATACTCCAACAATCCTCCTGAAATAGAATTGTGTATGCTATTCTGCAGATCAAGAAATAGCTCTGGGGCTGCAAGTATAGCTCAGTGGTAAAGCACTTGTATAGCATGTGCAAGACCAAGTTCAATCCCCTGCACCAAAAGAAAAAAAATTTATCTAACTACAACTATGCACAGCTCAAAAAAACATTACCCTACCAGTTTTAGAAAGGATGTACAAATTAAATGACAAATGTTTTATCATAGGAGAAAAATTATTTTCATTTTGAATTTATAGTCTAACTATGACTATAACTTTGGTCACCTATGACTAAAATTTTTTAAAAGGTCAAATGGCAAAAAAAAAAAAACCTACTTACAACTAAAATATAATTTAACTGAGATTAATTAAATTAATCCTACTGGGATTTTTATTAGGGTGAACAACCACCCAGGTTTGTCAAGGGACATAAGACTTTCAGTGTTAAAACTGGTGAATACAGGGCATGTGGCACATGCCTACCCAGCACTTGGAAAGTTGAGCAGGAGGATTACAAGTTTCAGGCTAGCCTGAACTACATAGTAAGACTCTGTCTCTTAAAAACACATATACCTGGGAAGCACTTAAGCAAAACAGGGCAAGTAAAGTGACCATATATTAATACTATTACAAATACTTTTATTTATCTAAAACACAAGTTCAGATTCAGTATTTTATTGTGAAATATGTAAAACAGAGTATATTTTGGACATTTTAATTCACACAGACCTGTATTCCAATCTCAGCACCATCTCTTTGCAAGTTACTAGGCCTATTTGAGCATTAAAAAAAAAAGTCAGTATTTCACCAAAGTGGCATAAATGCAGAAACACATACCAACATTCATTTCCATTTCTGAAATGTGAACTAGTGTCAAAATCCTTACCTGTGTTACTTCCTCTACACCAGTCATCTGGTACTTCCTCATCCTTTCAAATACTGAATGATCTGCACAGCCCCCTGGTGGACCATATTTATGAGGGTAGTCTAAAGCACAAAGAAGAAATAGTGTTACTGCTATATGTTTAGATATAACTAATTATACTAAACGTGAAAAATTAACTGTCATAACAAAAAAGTCACAAGTGACTATTGAGCACCTATAAGAAAGACATTATGATAGACATCTTAATTTTAAAACATGGCAGGTCCCTCCCTCAATAAAAATAACCAGTCTCTATAGCTTTCTGTCTATGGGTGATATGTGAATTCTAAATCAGGATAATAATCATTCTTTACTCTGGATTTAACTTTCCCAACCTTTACTACTTAAGATAAATATAGCATCTTAAGACTGTAATTTACTACCTCATTTTGTAGTTTATAACTTTTCCTTCAGACACATTAAATTTCCTATGCTGCAAATGTACAAAGCTTCCTCAACTTGAACTATAGCTAAACTAATATTATAACTTGGGGGTTGAATTCCTTGTATGAACACCAACTGGCCTCAAGAAAATTTACCTAGAAACATGTTCCATGACATGATAAAAGTAGGTTGAATTTAAATTTATTGAGTGTATAATTTAAATGAATGCTTTACAAATAATTAACTATTTTATCATTTGTTTTCTGTTCATAAGCAGTGATTAATTTATCTTTAAAACTGAATTGGTTATATTTTCAACTAACTGTTCAATTCAGTAATCATTTAAATAAATACTTATTCTACTTTCTCAAAGTTCTACATACTTCTTTCTTGTTAACGTCCTCCTTAGTGTGTCAACATATTTTAAAATCTAATCTAGAAACCATAATTGAGAACTGCAAAATAAAATACAAGACATGGGTATGAGAGGAAACACTGAAAAACCCTAAGCTTATACATGCAATACACTAAAATACATGCAACAGGTAATGTCATCTAGAACTTAATGCATATGCTGGTTTAACTATTTCATTTGAAATACTACTTAAATACTACAATAGAAATCTGTACTGGCAGGTAGGAAGAGGTATGAGTTATGGACACTACACCCTACACTGATGTAACAGTTCTGATTTACTTTATCAGAAGTCAAGAATTTAAGCAGCTATTAAAGTTAACCAGTAAATGTGAAAAGCATAATTAAAATACCTTTTAGTTATGAGGTATTTTAACCCCACATGTACACGACGATTTGGGAAAGATCATAAATGAGTGCTAAAAACATCAGGCTGAAGATGTGAAGGAACACAATATTCAGTCCTCTGAAAATACCACCTCACAGATGACTTATTAGTTATAAAGGGGAAAGGCCCCTTTGGGCCAAAGAGATACAGTGATTACTATACTTCATTTACCAGGTGATTAAATCCAGCATTACCAATAGTCGGACAGCCTGATATTATGGCCTCCTGGCATGATGGAGTAAGAAATATCTAGCTTCACCTAATGTAGTATGTTAACTGAACTTAATCATGAGTAAACACCCAAACACACTGAGAATGAGCGACATTTTGTAAGTCACTGACCTAAACTAGGAAAAAAAGGCATGTCATTAAAAAATAGAAAATTCAAGAACTAGGGGTGAGAGAGCCTGTTATACATTAAGACACTAAAAGAGACATAATAAACAAATGCAAAAAAAGAATTTTATGACATAAGAGAAATCTTATAGAATGTATATTAAATTATATTTTAAATTAATGATATGTTTAATATTACAGCTATTTAGTCAATTACACTGGATGAGATCAATTTATCCGCTTTTCAAAATTCTCCAGTGAAGTTTTATGCCAGCAACCTACTTCCAAGGGATATACCTCAGAGGCAGAGGGCTTGCCTACCATGCCTGAGGCCCTGGGTTCAATCTTCAGGACAGAAGAAAAAAACAACATTCCCCAAAGTATATATACTAGGATGCAAAATGTTAGAAATTAGCAAATCTCAGGGATGGCTATATATGTTCTTTGGGCAACTACTCTTTTTTGTAGGTTTGAAACTCAAAACTGTAGAATCTATGAAACAAATTCAAATGATTTTGAAGTAGAAAACCAACACTACTGAACTGCAGGTAAGAAAAATCTAATATATTTACTCCTTTACTGTTTCAAACATTGGTTATGGAAAAGCAAGAATGCATACCATCCAATACGTACTTAATATCCTACCACAAAGGCTAAAAAGTTTTAAAATACAGTATGCCAAATTTTTCAATCCTTATCTTTTTTGGTAGATTTGGGATGTTTTCACCACAATGCCTTCTTCTGCTAGTAATTTTAACCTGAAAATGTCCCAATGAAGTTTGCTCAGCTTCTGACAGAACGTAGCTTGCCTGGACTGCCAGCTGATGAAGTTCTTCCATGCCAAGAATACTCAATTCAATCATGGGGCATACTCACAGACAAATACAGACACATAAGCGCACTCACACTGAAATTCCATGTTCAGTTAGACAGACTAGATCCCTTCCTTGGAATTTTTCCAGTTATTTTAAATATTATGTAGTACCAGTTCAGTTTGATTAGTAATTTACACTTGAGCATTTTGTGCTATTTTGCCCTAGTACTGGGACAGTTCAGCTCCAGTGCTTCTTTGATTAGTTTTTCATTAAATCATAGATAAGAAAATGTTTTCTTTCTTACAAGACATTACTGTATGTGATAATGAAACCTGCTTCTGGCTCGGGCAGTGACTACACAATTAAGTAAAAAAAGGCTCTGACACATAAAACATTTGACCATACATAGAAAAAGGATGCAACCAATTCATGTATTTTCAAATTTTTACTTTTATCTCTATTCCAGTGTGATAACAAATAAATTATAATTCAATTGCTATGTTATGTTATTTTTTTCCTTTATGAGTCAGTGTGTGGTGCCTTAATTTAGATTTGTTAGAATACAGTCAATATTTACGTAACTAAGAACCCATTTCAATATTTACCTTAGGCTAACGTAGGCTCAATGAAAAAAGCATATTTAACACTATTTGATGAAATTCTTATAGAACTGAATTAGATACTTTCCTCCAAAGAACTAAGTCTAACTACTGATTTAATTTATCATGAAGTTTCTTAAGCCATCTTCGTAACTTCTCTCTCATACCTGTGTGTGAGATACAATAGCACATACTTGATCCTACTCCCAAATAAACAATAACTGACTTAGACTTTCCAAAGAAAAGCTCCATGATTAAACCACTTATAGCCAATTTTCCCCATCTACATGGGGACATTACCTATTTTCCCCATCCCTCAGACCTCACTACCACCAAAATCTAAATTTGTTTGTTTGTTTTGTTTTTAAAAAAGCATATACCCGGGTATGGATAGGTAGGAATAATCTTGTTAACCAAAAATATGTAACTCTCCCAAAGGTCCCCTCATACCAGCACATCACTTACCTACCCAGTTTTTTTAGAAAACAATTTTTTTTTTATTTCCAAAGATTTTATTTGAAAAAAAAAAAAACCCAAAAACAATTTCAGTTAGTCATTGACCAAATATGTTCCTCACTATCCTGGGCAAAAATCTATCAATTAAATTCCTTAGCTTCCTTTCCAAGTTAGTTATAACATGGAACCAGGTTCTAACTAAAGGAACCTGAGCAGGAGAATAACTAGCCATGACCTTCCAGGGTCTTTTCTTTAGAATGGCTGGTAGAAAACAGCCTAGGAATAGGAGAATAGTATGGGCACAAAATAAGGGAACCAGTATTCCTGAATTACTTCTTGAAGAAAATCTGCCTGATAGGGAATACCGCATTAGACCTGATGAGGAATGAGCTGTATGTGTTTTCTGCCACTGAATGCTGAGGCTGTCTGACATTACAGTTAGCATTTCCTTAATTCATGGTGAAAACATCTGTTAAGGAGAATAATAGAATTCATCAAAGGCTCCCTACTGTAGAAAATACAAAAAGATTCTTGGCCCGTCATATTATAAATAATTTTAAGCTGCCAGCATTTGGGAGGCTGAGGCAGGAGGATCCTGAGTTGGAGGCCAGCCTTACCTACACAGTAAGTTCAAGGCTAGCACAGACTACATAGCTAGCAAGACCTGTTCCCCTTACCTCATCTCCCCCCCACAAAAAAATACTTTAGTAATATTAATATTATTCTCTGAATATTTTCATTTGTAACTAGTTTTTCACCCATCCAAAGACAAAAGTTTTTGCCAAAAAAACCTATCAGGCAAATAGTTAGGTGAAGTCTGATAAATTGCAGGAATTATTTCTACAGAGAGAAGCTTACAGACTGCACAACACCCAGGTTAGATATTTTGGGTGCTTACAGAAATACTGTCATTTTTCAAAACAGTTTTTCAAAGCAGGATTTACTCAATGTTAGATTTTTAGTTTCAGAAAGCAGTAAGCTGTGAAGCTCATTAGTAGTCTAGTTATAGTCCACCATATAACTAGTATGTCAAAACAACATTTTCTGCTTTCACATATAATTTAGTTCAACCAATATACTTAGAGATATCTCTGTTGTTATGTCTTGTATTTTTCAAACTTGAGAAGTAATTCTATAAGTAATCTAAATGTGACAGAAATGAGGATTTACTTTTATTCAAAGCATATAATGAAATATATTTTTAATTTGCTCCTACACAGACCCAAAACACTATTATAAAACATTTCTGGAAAAGAAAGAATTTTATAGTTTCCATACACTTGAATGATTACTTTCTTTTTTTCTTTTTAATGGTGCTGGGGATTAAACCCAGGGCCTTGCACTTACAAGCAACCACTCTACCACTTGAGCTTAGCTGCCAACCCTTTTGGTTTTGTTTTACAGAATGGGTCTCACTAAGTTTACCTAGGTAGGCCTCAAACTTGTGATCTTCTTGCCTCAGCCTCCCAAGTACCTGAGATTACAGGTATACACCACTATGCCCAGGTCCACTTTTAACAATTTCACGTGTATGACAGTTTACTGAACATCTTAGTAAATACTAAATTTAGAAATGGAACAAAAATACCCCCATTTTAAACAACTGTAACATCACTGATGTACATGTCTGATTCATGTATTATCGACAATCACTACTGTATAGTATCCT